TACTGCTGGTATTTGACGGGGTGAATTAGAGTCTCTTATAGCCACTGACTGACAGCAAGCGTTTGGAAAATAAAAAAATGCCACTGGGATTTGAACCCACCGTCTGACGATCTGATAACCGCGCGCTTAATCACACGGCCATCTCAGAGATATTGGTCTCTGTTGTTCATATCCAGGAGATAACAAAGTCATTAACCTCGCTGCACAGAATCTTGCTGTGTAAATACCGAGTGATTAAAATGTTACAGTAGTGCATCACGTAGCAAAAATACACATTCACACAAACAACAAATTACATTGAATGTTCTCCCTGCCAGCTTCTCTTTAATATTTTTAAATGACCGCGAATCAATATGGGTAAGTCCGCCGACTCTTCTATCTGGTTCGTAAGTAACTTTGTCATAATAATATCGACAAGAATATAAGATCAAATCAGTGCTCTGAAATATGTGATTGACGAGCTTTCGGTAACCTCCTTCAGGGCAACCAGATTCAGTTCTGAATGAACGCGGAAAAATCCACGCTCATCCCCCCTGGATGCAGCGTTTTAAGTTCGAAAATGACGCACTGCTCTAGTTCCTTACGCTGTACATCAGATGACGCTTTCCGCAGGATGCAGACGCTTACGTCACCGAGGGAATGTGGCGGCGCGCAAAAGTGCTGCGCAACAGTGAGACCAGGTGTTTGTTGGCGCACACTGCGCAAGTGTTCCGCAAAGCGGTCACATAGGGGTGCACTGAACTAATTGAAGCCCCATTGAAGACAAAAAAATCGACCCCGCCCTTGTTTTGAATAGGAGCTGTCTGTCTAGGCCTATGTTTTTGTTGTCTGTGATCTGTGATATCTCCGCACAGGCGCGCCATGAGGCGTGGAAGTATATGCGCGTTTGACGTGAGCACGCTGAGTACGCGTAACTAATTTACTCCCGCATGTAAGGTCTTTGCGTGAAAGAACCAGCTTGTTAGGGTGCATTGTTAGGGTGCAATCGGGAGGAATTATAGAAATATTTCTATAAATCCCGAATTTGATAATTTCTGGTTCGGGGTATTTCTTTCACAAAAAGCCCCAAATTGCGGGCCGATTTTGGATAGAGGCGGGCGGCGAACATTCAGAGCTGAGCGCATAGTTTTACTACTATTTTGGGGGTATGTTTGGGGTATCTTTGGGAAAGGAGAATAAAAAAAATCGTGGCTAACCCCCATGAAATTGAAACAAAAAGTGATCTTCAAGCCATAACCTTGAATTTCCAGAGAAAAAAAACGGAGGCCAACCTCTTCCCGAGAGTCAACAGGCGGCGCTATTTCGGTCTGATTTTGCACTGTTTTCTGTGAACGCGTATTTGGTGTAGTGCAGCTGTAACCACTTCTTTCGGTCTTTTGGGGGTGCACTTCAGCTCGGGGCGAATAAAAAAAAACATAGAGTGCCAAGGTTTTGAGGCCGAGACAAATAAGATGATTGTTTTCCTAAAAGCGCGATCCAGTTTGTCAAAGTTGTTTTCTCACGTAAAAGATTCACACCGCCTGAAAGGTAGGCCTACTAGTTCTTGGGTGTTGTTCTACTCCCCAGAAAAATGGCAACAGGGCCTCAGTCTAGGCTCCACCCCCGCCCGGCTCAATAGCAAACAGATAAAGTTATATATATAAAGGCAAATTTTCCGAAAGTTTAGGAACAGTCGATAGATTATGGGTGAACCATGCACTAGACAGTGGCGTACTAAATTTGTGCAGGAAATTGGGCACCTGGGTGATTGAGGATGTGGATTTGTGGGGGGGGGGGGGCAGTGATGACTTCAAGTTGCCCGGCCATGGAAATTCGAAAGGGGGGGGGGGGTTGACGCCATATGACACTATAATGGGGGCAATATTCATGATACAGATGTACAAATATTTCATTCACGCACAATCTTACATCAGACCGGCATATATATGGCATTAAAAAATTGCTTTCCTTTTTGAGTGATATCGAGTTCATTTTAGTCGTTGGGAAGTCCGAAAAAATCTTCACAATCCGCTTCAATTTCTTACCACGAAAAAGCGATGGATAATTCAAAAAGCCCATTCCGCTACCTCAAAATGTGGGGGTGGGGTGGGGGGTTATGTATGCTTCCCATCGGAGATTTACACCCATGAGCGTAAATGAATACAGTTGGCAGTATATTTTAATGTAGGATGCTACACTAAATCGAAACGGCAAGATGCATGGTTTCCAATGCCAAAAGTAAGCGTCTTCATACAACCATTTATCATTTTTCATTCAACCTAAACTGCCACGAAAATTCTATTTTGTAGCCTGCAAACCAAATCCCCACTAGGCCCTACCGGGAACTTGAAGGTTTGGAAAGTGAATTTCTCACGGAATCGTTAGCAGAGGTTTTCGGATGAAATTGAAGATAGNAAACGGCTCCCCTTTCCCAAACTCACATGCCTTCTATGGGGAACCCTGGCGGTATGATCTTGCAATCAACGGCAGTTTTGTGCCACTTCATCCCACCCGGCACGTCACAATCCCACGCAAATCCCCCCATGGACTGGGTCAGGCCACCGCGGTCCAATCACGACAAAGAGTGACAGGCAAACACGCCCCACCCATGTGACGTAAACGCGGACAGCAAGCTTGACAAATACCTAGCCGGACGTGGCAGAAGCGTGGGTAGGGGAAACCGCTCTCTGCGTTGTTTTCTATTATTGCAATCGACACTTGATCCCCTCCCAACACTAGTAAAATCGCCGTCCAAACTTCACAAAACTTCGTCTAAGATGTTGGGACCAATTCTGCACACCATCGCGTCGGACCTAGCCGTGTTTCAGGGCGTAGAAAGGGTTCAGAAATTGGATTAAATCGAGGATTTTATCGGGAGAATTGACAACCCCCAGCCACTGCTTTTGTCTGGCTATGCGGTCTCACTACACAGACTCTACGGAGGGAGCGACACTCATCCCCGTGTGTGTGGGTGATTGCGCTGGGGCTCGTCGTCCCGCGTCAGTGCACACGTCGCACACGAACTGACGTCCAATCCATACAACGTACGGATTCGATCGATGTCCTGGCACCGAAAAAACAACTGATTTCGTAGGTATTTCATCAAAAATTTGCCTTTCATACGATCTTTTGGTACCAGACAGCTCACAAGAGTGACCTTGGAGGGATCTCACGCTAGAAAAATGGTAGAAAAAAGACGATGTTTCGATTAATTTAGTGTCTGAGATGTAACTGCTACAATGTCATGTACCCAGCTGTACAGTGAGTCTGACGTCATCCTATTACTAATGCATATGAAGTAGACGTTCAATAAAGTACATTCATGTAGTTTGAATAACTTCAGCTACTTAAAAAGTTTTGTTCGTACTGTTCTGTAAAGTGTACATTTTATGGACACACGTGCACATGGTTCACTTTACTTTCATGTTCAGGATAATTGGAGCTTATTTTGAAAATTTTCCTGTAATTTGAAAAAAAAGGTCATTTTGAAACCCATGCTGTATATATATATATTGGAGAGAAACATTTTATGTTTAGCTTTTCACTCAGTGATGTCTTTGGTCATTTGATAATATTTTTATTTTTTGTAAGATCCATTTTTGTGTTTTGTTTTTGTATGCCTCAAGACTGGTTGGAATATGGCAACCCATCCCACATGTACCAACCCCCCACCAATCAATCCCAGCAACCCCAGTGAGTACCAGCTCTACCAGGTCCTGGAGCGGGCCAACCTCCTGGGTTACTTCAGTAACTTCATCCAGCAGGGCGGTGACGACGTCACCCAGCTGTGCGAAGCATCCAATGAGGAGTTCATGGAGATCCTGGCCCTGGTTGGCATGTCCAGCAAGCCCCTGCACATCCGCCGGTTGCAGAGAGCACTGCAGGAGTGGGCCAAGGAGAACAACGTGCCTTGCCTCCAGACACAGCCCAGCACTGCTCCTCAGCAGCCGCCACTGAACAGCATGCCTTATGCTTCGGGGCTGGCAGGCATGCAGCCCCAGGGCCCAACGGCAAGGTCTGTGGTTACGCAGTGGGGACCTGCTCATCCGTCCCCCTCTAATCAGTGGAACACTGGCCAGCCGTTGGCCAGTGAGCACTCGAGCCCTAGTGATTCTCCCCGACAGACTCCGCCTTACGCTGCTCAGCCGGGCATGTCATCACAGCCTTCCAGCCAGGCCCCACAGCAGGCTCTCGGAGGCAATGGTAAGGTAGGAGCCTCAGGCATGGACGAGTGCATGGACCCTCAGATGCTGAGACGAGTGGCCCAGCGCATCATGGCTTCCCACACGCCCTCACCAATTACCCAGACAAGCCAGAACAGGAAGCTCTTGAGCAGTGTCCAACACATCATTGAGATGCCCCCTGACCACCACCAGCGCCTTGAAGAGATCCAGAAGTGGGCCCCTATTTATGGACGCTTTGATTCCAAACGCAAAGACGATAAACCTCTCACAGCCCATGAGGTATGCGGTTCAGGAAATGATGGTGTTACTTATAAAAGTCCCCAGACTGACCTTCAGGCACCATGGTGTACAGGGCATTATATGATCCACATCATATGTTTCGTCTTGGTTGAAAACAAAATGATAAAATCACGTCAGATGGCTCCATGTTGTTAACATAAGGATCCCGCAATCATTTGTCAGGATAAATTTCTTTTTTACCTAAATAATGTGAACTAACCAGGTCTGGTTTCAGGGTCTATTTGGTTGCTTTTGGTCCCTTTATTATTCCAGTCCAAACAGTATATTAATCTTGTTGAATGCCTCCTAATGTCATATGTCATTTCTTGGCCAATTTCAAGAACAGAGCAAAATTGACAAGTAATGAGAAGTAACTCAAGTGACTGTGACACTAAACTGACACAACCAGTCTATGTTACAAGTCACACAGAACTCTAAGCAGGATCGATTTCAAATTTCAGATCTCTGTGAACGAGGCTGCCATTCAGCTCTGCTGCATAGATCCGTATCTCCTCGTGCAGAGAGACAAACTCTTCCCCCTAGCCAGACAAGTTGTACGAGAAAGCGGGTACCAGTTTAAGCATGGACACTCCAGGTTGGTGCAAGGCATCATCTTCAATTCATGAATACGACTTCAGAAGATAGATGAATTATGTGTTTTAATTTTCACTAATGGGTTTTGCCTTTACACCTACATGTATGGGCTTTGCTGTGACATCTTTGAAAGTAGTTTGATTTTTCTTGAACCGGCCAGCTGACCCTGGCAAGCATGGTGTTTGATTGGTTAAGACGTCAGCACTAGTAAGCAGGTGGGTTGTCTATTTGAGTTCCAGCAAAGTGAGCTTGTGAATTTTTGTTGAGCTCTTGGACAGCACTAAGTGTACAGCATTATGAAATGTCAGTGTAAGGGCAAAATTTCATAAATAAAATTTAACTTCTCCCAATGTAAAGTATGTGTGAGTCTTTTGAAATTGAAAAAATTCTATATCTGTAACCCGAACATTCCTGAATTATTATGATTTACTTTTGATGCGTTACATACCTTGTTTATTCTGTGGTGTTAACTTGCTAATGCTTATTTTCTGAGACTGTACTGGATGTGAAACATTTGATTACCAAATACCTGAATTTTTATTTTCAGAATCGAATATTTTTGAAGGTGAAAATAAATGTGATAAAAAGGGGAAAATTCAATTATTGGGTAACAATATTGGCAAGGTGCTTGTAAACTTAAAGGCAGCTGGTGTATTTGACAAGCTGTAAGGCCAAAAAGTAGGTAGACCACCCCACAGACATACATGTACGTGCTTTATTCCTTTGGGGGGGGAATTCAAATATCCAAATATTTGATTGAATGGAAGGTCAAATATTTGAATATTCAATTGTCCAAATTGATTCCGCCTTGTATTGGAAAGTCTTATCCCCCTGGAAAAAAATCAAGGAATTCATATATTTTACCTGAATTTGGGATTTTCAGGTCACTCAAGGTCAGCCACAGCAAAAATGAGGAGGGGGGAGGAAGCAAAGCCAAAAGAGTAAAAGTTGAGTCTGGGACGGGCGCATACCGAGATACAGAGGTGACCACGCCAAACCCACGAACTGTTCAAGCAGAGATTCTGAAGCTGAGAAGAGAGGTAAATCATTTTGGTATAGGAGTGACACCCCTGATGGGTGCCCCGGCTGCAGTTAACATGGTTGCATGTTAATAAATTTCTTATCACTTCTGGTGATATATACATGTATAAACATACACCAGAAGTGATCAGAAATTTATCCAGCAGAAAAATCATTGAATTATAGTTTGAATAATCTTGGATGGTCCTAGCTGTAGGTCATACTCTCTGTCTGCATCACAACCCGAGTGTGGTGTATGTGACAAGTTGTAATGAAATTTGAGGATTCAGGTTGTTAATGTTAATGCACATGTACATTTAAATGATGTGGAAATTCCGTCATTCCTAGTATGTTTCGAACTGCCACTTAGCAGCTTTTTCCAGCTGAGTGTGCCCATCGATGAAATGCTGTGTTCCAAATATGAGTAGTCTAGATGGACCATTAATATCCAAGGTTCAGAGATATTCCCTGAAAATAGGCCTACTTAGGAATTCAACTCGGCTGTCACAACAGTGCCAATTTTTTTTTAAAGACAGAAAGCAAAGTTGTCAATTATATGCTTAACACTTTGTCACAAAAAGCTATCGTTAGGATCTGAGACAGTGATCAAAAGATCTGAGGTTCATCTTTTATGTTGTAACCAAGAGGTTTCTGTCTAAAAACCATGAAGGAGCGCATGAATGAGATTCTGATGCACTTGAACAGCATAGCACAGAAGCAGAGCGACATCAAGGCCAGTATAGCTGCGGCCCGCTCGGAAGACAACATCCAGCAGGTGTACGACCTGAAGGTGCAGCTGGAGAAGCTTACCACCCAGCAGCTGCTGCTGATGACAGAGCAGACCGACTTGATCAAGAGGCAGCGACGATCTGACAGGTATGAGGAAAATCAAGAGAAGGTTGGGTGTGATGGGGGTGGTAGGGGGAGCCAGCTGTGTGCAGGAGTTTGCAACCTTTGGTGAGGTCACATGCCTGGCTTATCCGGCATTCACAAATGGGGAAGGGGTGTGCCCGGCAGTTATGGAAAGATGGGGGAGTGCCTTGATGAAGTTGAGCCCAAATGTCAAAGGGGAATATTTTTTAGTTAGAATTACTGTTTTTAAAATGATTGAATAACCAGTTGAGGGCAAGTAAAGAAGTAGGCAGAAGCCGTATCTGCCTCACCAAAAATTGGGGTGGGATTGGTGCACACCAGCTGTGCTCCCCTCTGGATCCATCGCTGTGTCCAGTCGAGGTTTTCAGACTTTGTTGAGCAGTTTGAAGGAGAGGAGTCTTTGCAGACTTTAAACTTTATTAGAATAATTGCTAGCTCATTATTTTTACTTTGTCAAACCCCTCATTTTAATACGGCAAATGCTACCCTTCTGTCCACTGCTCCTGACATTGACAGATACTACGTTGCCAAAGCTCGGGCCGAGGAGGAGAACGGTGATCTTGCCACACCAGATGACCAGTTGACCGATCCTGGTAAGCTCAAATGGTGGGTGTGGGATTGTTTCTTCTTTCTTTGCATGCGTTATAATGTATTACTTCGTCACTGTATTTCATGAGGTTGTGTAAGGATGCTGTGTGCTTTGTGAGTACCTGCTCGTCAGTAAACAGTACAAATGCTGGGTCAACCGCATGGTTCCTGCCTCCATGATTGTGGGTAGGAAAACCATAAAGAGACTGGGAACATTTTACCCACCTAACCTGGTTTACACACCCCTTTATACGAGGAACACCATCTATCAATCAGCTCATTTGAGCAAGTTTTGTCGATGTGGTTGTCTCAAAGGAAGTTCTGCTAAATAACAAAGCACGCTCTCTGTCCTTCACACAAGGCAGTATTAATTGGCTGTACAAACTTCATTGAGTTTTCCTTAGCATGAGGGCTCATAGGTTAATGATGAATTTAACATACATTTTTGTACATGTACACCTTAAAAAGTGTTCTGTATTTGAGTCAACAGCATTTAATTCATGACCTACATAAATGTGTTCAACATTTATTCAAGAGAGACTGATTTGTTCGCATTGTCAGATCGGGAGGAAGATAGCAGAGAGCCTTTGCAGGCACTTGCCTCAACGTACTCGGGGTTGCCAGCTGTAGAGGGTGCCCGAGCCCCACTGGACAAACCGGCACCAAAGAATTCAGGCAACTCTAACTCCAGCCTTGCTCAGACTCTACTCATTCAGCACACCTTGATGGACGAGGGACTGCGGGTGGCACAGAACTATGCTCTTGACGGGCACGAGGGCCCGTCTGCAACACTGTCCGGTGAAAATGGTCATGCAAGGGTAAAGGCAGAGAGTTCAGAACTGGACAGCTGCGAGGAGGAGGAGGCAGTCAGCCGGGCAGCTGAGTCCACCATCACGGCCCTGCTGAGCCTGTCCAACAACAGAAAGCAACAACTTGACGATCAGAAGTTGAATAGTTGAAAGCTGTGCCCAGTGTCATAAAACTACCGAGTGGGAATCATAGCTTAGCACATTTTTGTGCTAAGCAAAATTCAGCAGGGAACCGGCCTTAGGTTGTGTACCTGGAACGGCATTTTGGCTGGTAACCCAATTTTGTTGAGTTGATAGTTTCTACGCTTAGCAGTTTTTGAAATTTGCCCCATTGAACCCGTTGACCCTGAATAGTTCTCCAACAGTGCTTTCCATGGGAAATGAAAAATATGCGTGTATCCTTGGAAATGTTCCTTTGCTGGGTAGCAGGTGGCAGTCTGACAGCAGCTGTGGTGAACTGGGCACTAGACATAAGGCATGTCTTCCGTGGAGCTATGTTTGGTTTTACTGTTTACTGACAAAATAACGAGTGCTATCTTTCTTCAGTGGGGCTATGTTTTGTTTTGCTGTTCACCAGCAAAAATAATGAGTGCTATCTTTTGCCAAAACTGTTGATGCACAAGTTCACAGCATAAGGTTTTATGTGATTTTGATTACATATAATGTTCTCCTTATCCTGATATCTTTTGCCTTTACTTGTAAGCGTTATATTACATTGATCTGCCATCCTTACAGTGGCATGTTACTGGTGTTCAAGTTACCTCTGAATTTATCCTTTTATACATGTAGTTGCAAAATAAAAGAGATGTTTATATTATATGAAATATGTAAAGTGTGCTTCTAGTCAGTAAATTGTTTTTGATAATGTTCATTCTTTTGCCAGCTCCTCTTCTTGACTGGATAGGCACTTACTCAGGAAATAGTCTTTGAAATACTCAAAAACTACAAAAAATATGAGAGGGATAATTAGAAGGGATGGGGCTAGATCTCCGTGGGGATGATCTCTGTATGCACACCAACCCAGGCATATGCTAATTGTACATACATAAAGTCCATAGTAACTGCACGGTCATTGTGCCAGATACTGTTCTGAAGAGCCTAGGGCATGAGTGTCATGTGGGGGAGGGGAACACTCTGCTACCCCCCCAAAAAAAAACCAAAAGAAATGTGAAAAAAGGGGGAGGACCAGGGATGAAAATTTTCACGTTACTTGAAAAAAAAATCCTGGAATTGGCATCCACTGTTATTGGTGTACAGTTTGCCAGTGATGAGTGCTTCCCCACTCCCTGGAAAAAATCCATGACAAGCTAAGGGGTAGATTTGTCACCTACACACTGCTCCTGCCACTGCACGGGAAGGGAATGCTCCTCATTGTCATATGATCTCAAACTCTCATTTGCTGTCAAAATGTGTACAAATTTTCAAGGTTTCGTGCGCCCCATTACCATTCAAAGCAAAGGTCGTCGTATTCTCAGCACCTGTACACTAGTGACTAACACATTTCTATCAATGGAGGCCATGGTAGTGTGATTTGCCTGGAGGTATACGTATGCTGGCACAACCACATTCAATCACTTTAAAAATAGTAAGAGTATTGATTAGGCCCACATTATCTAAAAGTATGTCTTTCAAATCTAATATCCAAGCTCATCAGGTGCACATCTTCCTACAACCTCCTCGGCTCCCCAGGGGAATACGTATACAGCCCGAGCCTGCATTTTATGTGTGAATGACCAAAGACAATAAACGTCTCTGCTCTCACAGGTGCCCATCTACTCTCAGATGGAGAGAGGCAAGTGATAGGGGTCTCCACCTGCTTGACTCATCCCCCCCTCCCACCCATGGGCATTTGGAAAGGATTTTTGTCGAGGGGGGGTTCAGGGGGTGAATTTCCAGGGGAAAGGGTTGTGTGGTGCAAAGCATTCAATGAAAAAGTGATAAACAGTGGCTGTGGGGGTGTCGAGTTTGAAGCTTTCTTCCAAATTGGTGTTTTCATCCCTTTAATTTCTTTCACTTTCCCCCTTACTTTCCAAATTTTTCAGGGGTGGGGGCCTCGCCCCCCCCTTCCTTGACATCCATGCCCCGACCCACTGATCAGGAGGTACAAACACTGTCCACACACACAACTACATAACTTAACATATTTCCAGTGGCAATCGTGCAAAGCAAACTCAACTGGTTTTCACCACAGAAAGCAGGGCTTCATATAACATAAAAAGCGAGATGCGTACACTAGGGGTACAGTTTGGCAGCAGTCACTGGTACCTGTTGTTGGCCAGTGGTTGAGTGTTCTGGCAATTTCTTTACACAAGCAGCAATGGCCATTTTTCCTGGTTATGATGTCAGAAACATTTGTTATTTTTATTTGAATGCCAAAGCACATCCCTTTGGTTTGAAGCCTGCAGAACAAAAATGGAGACACACACTTTCCTCATCTGTAATTAAATTTAATGTGCCTTTCGAAATTCCATGCCAAAGTTCAACTTCCAATGGGTTATTCTGAATAATTTATATCCAATTCAGGTAAATATGCAAAATGTATTAAGTATTTACACGTACACAAGTATTGTGTCCCCAAATATTTGTAACAAGAAAAATGAAACATGAGTAAGAAGCCTTACAGGTACGGTGCACTTAAATCAAATTACAGGATCCATAAAGAAGATTTGGTATGCACTCATCTATTGGAGCCAATGAGGGTCAATGTCAGCGGGATTAGGCACATTACACGTGGGAAACCGAGTACAGTTGGTTTTTTCACCTCGTATAAACTGTACTGTACTTTTGGTTTGGTCGGGCAAACTGTTAGTGCAGAGGCTTTCATCATTTCAAGATTTAACATGGCTGCTGACAGATAGGACTAGACAGAACGTATGCAGATGCAGTTTAGCAGAGATGTTAAGGAGAGTTCACTGCCTCACAACATGACTCCACCCTTCAACCATGAATTTCATCTGCTGTTTCTTTTCAAGAATGAGCAAGTGAGCCTGTGAGCATGAATTATTCAACGTGGCCACGTCCCAACTTCATGAAGCTCCTGAGGAATGCATAAGTTCAATAAATGCACGCTGAAAACTGGTGATGAGCAACAAGCAGCACTTGATATGCAGTTGGTCACTGGCTTTTTTGCTTAGCGTTACGTCTTAGAACTGAGCTCTTGTGCTGGACAGCTCCATGAATAGCCCTCTGTACTGATGACATCACGCTTTGTTCAGGTGTTCATTTTCCTAAGTGGCCCCCGGGCTGCCACTGGCTCCATGGAAAGTGCAGGTTAACAAAGTTTGAAAAGATCAGTTCAAGGGGCCATTTGAGGATTTGTCTGAATCGTGGCCCTGGCAGGAAATAACACTTTGAACACCAATGCCTGGTGGCTCAAGCAACTTCCCACAAACAGATGGAAGATTGAAGACCAGAGTCTAGTCCATTTTTTTTTTAATGCTGCCTTTCTCTAGCTAACCTGGAGCTAAGCTGAAAATGACAGAGGCGAACAGCGATATTACATGTACTCATAAAAAAATCCATTGCAGGTGGTTGGTTACTCTGGACATGGACCACAAGCATTCAATTTCTGAACAATAAAGTACCTTTGGTATTGCCCTATGCCTGAATTGTGGGGTTGGTACCACTGTAATTCAAACACTATTCGAGTCACAACCTCTTACCTCGTTCCAACTAGCCAAACTCAGGCATTTATTTGTATCCTCAATGCCTATACACTTTCTTAAATTCCATGCATCAAAGCATCTAACTTGTATCTAAGAAATAGGGTGTTGTGAAAAGACTGGGTCTCTTCACGTCAATATTGGGCCTAGCTTTTCAAGAGGATAAAAAATTCAATGACATTTCAAAACACCAAGAGGAATGTGCCAAAGAACTTGGCCACTACCCCAGGACGTTTCCCGAGCAAAATCCCAAATTTGAAAAATGAAAGAACAGAAATGCCATTTACAAACATAAAAAAAATTCAAACATCGAAAATCTGTAGTTAAAAAGGTGAACAATTCTCATGCTGTACAAATTGGACAGCTTTCTGCTGTAACTGACAACTGCTCATGCTTTTGTCATGAGTTTGAGGACTAAGACATGGAGGGAAAATATGATGGCCTTGACAGGTAGGGCAGGTTGTTCTTGATTCCATTCCTGCTTGCTTTGTTGCATCAAGGCACTCTGCTTGATAATTATTTGGTAAATCAAATGATCCGTGTCAAGGCGATATCTGATTTGATACAGAATTCCCTGTAAACACACCTCCCTGCCTGTTACCACTTTTGTCTCTTCTCCAGTGGCAAGCAGCAAACTTGAAGGGCACGAACATGGTATTTTGCGCTACACGTCTGACTGCCAAAAGCAAATCTTTAGTTCTCATCTGAATCGAGGTCCATGTTGTCGTCACTGAAAGCCTGGTCTGTCGCTGCATTCTCACTGCGAAAAAAAAACCCCAAAACATGATAACAAATCTTTGGAATGCTAATTTTCGGGGAGGTTTCATGCAAGATTACAAGTAACACTCTGAATGAAGTTGACTAAAACAACTATAATAGCCACATCATGTGGTTACTTCTTACACACCGATATCATTTTTATAAATGCTTGTTGGCAGTAGCTGCAGTTCTAAAAGATCTGTACAGCAAAGATGGCAATAAGGTGATTGAAGCACTACACTGTTTAGCACACTCTAACATTAACCCCTTCACGGCGGGATTATTTTGACTGCGACTGCTGGGCTGTGGTATGCCCTGAATGGAGGGCTTTGTCCAGCAGCAGGCCCCATTGAACCAGCAGCTGCATGGTGACTAAACTGTATGTGTGGTATGCACTGATGCTCACACAAAGTTGCAGTAGTAGCAATCATCCGTAGAGAAGGGGTTAAGTGTCCTTGCAACAACTGACAGCATTTTGAAACTTGGCGACACTCGTGCCCACTTCGAGCACTTCGTCAAGCAACACAGCTACCCGTGGATTGAATATGGACTCTGAGCAACTTTTCTTTTTCTTGAGTGGGGTAGACTAATCATTAAAGTCACTTTATCAGGGATGTCAGTGAGTCCCAACAAGCTTGAAAGAAATGCAATTGCATCGTTTGATTTGTATACACAATCAACAGCATTTGCTTTGCCAGAAAAAATCTTGTACTGAATGACTTACATCTTGCCCTATCTTTAAAACACATGATGCACACTGGAAACTTGCCAAACCTACCCCTTGGAGTTGTTCCCTTCCTCTGCGTCTTCATCCAGATCCATGGGCTGCTCACCAAACTGGTCCCCGGACATCCCCGTCGATCTCCGCCTGTCTCGTTTCTGCTCCCTTTTCTTCTCCTCCTGCGACCCTCTGGGCTTGTCATCTCCCCCATCCATGACCAGCCCGGGGATCTGGAACCCTCCCTGGCTGCCAAAGATCTTCTCCAGCCGCTCTGAGAGGTCTCTCCTGCCTTCCCGATCTTCCACTTCATATTCCTCCTCCTCAGCCTCCATCTCATCTCCCACGGCAACTGCATCCTCCTCCAGGTGCTCGGGCTCCTCGGGTCTCACATCGTCTCCCACTGTTCTCTGATTGTCAGTCTCGTCGTCAGTTCTAACCAGCTCGGGAACAGTCGGAAGCGATTCCTCTTTTGGTTCCTCCTCTGGTTCCTCCTCTCTGAGATGCTCAGAGTCTTTTGCTTCATCAGTTTCATCTTGGGGTTCTGCTGTGGCACTGAATGCCTCTTCTGTGGGAGTATTGGCCGTTGCTTTAGCCTCAGCACTAGCTGTCACTTGGTCCTCACTGTCAGGTTTACTGGGGATGTCCTCCGCAGTTCCATTTTCTTGTATTCTGACGGCCTCAACAGTGGTCTCATCATCTCCTGTATTGTCATCCTGCACTGTTGTTATATCTGCAACGTTTGTTTTCCAAATTGTGAAGAAGACAAACTACATTTGTGAATGAATGCTAAAAGCAGTAGTAAAATCACCGAGCAATGAGCTTTTTTATCCTCACAATCTACCGAGAGTGACGGCTGTTTCATTTATTTTTTTATTTGGATTTAGAAAGCCTTGTCTAGCGGAGATGAGAGCTTGTGCAAAAATGGTGACGATGACTGCACTGTAAAGTAACACGAATAGATTGCTGGTCACTATACCGGTTTGCTCTGTCATCTGTTTCTTCTCCTCAGCGCCGCCTGATGTGTCTTGCATGAGGCAGATGGATTTCAGCTTGTTGTAGAGATAGTCGGCCTTCTTGCGGACTTTCTCATCTGGCTTGTATTTTCTGACCTGAGGCAGAAACACGGCAGATTTGGGTTGTCAAGCTGTTAATTGATCAAAGATGTGTCCACTATTTTCAACTGATTAAAGGAAACCGCTGCCGGTGCTCTGCCAAAAATGCTATCCAGCCCTATCCACTCCCTGTACAAGTGCCCTTCGTCAGTGTCCAGTACAGGTGTTTGGGCGCCAACGGCATGCCATTGAAGCCATGCATGTGATACATGAGTAACATGTACACCACACCCTTACCAGATTACTAACGCATAATGATACACATGCCTGAGCAATATGTACATGTTTAACTTGAACATAGAGGACAGAACATACAGGGAACACAGGATGTTTCCTTATCCTCAGAGGTCAGTACACTGTCCTCACTGGTCAGTACCTGTGCTTGGTCTGTGGAACAGTCATATACTGTAGGAACAAGGGTCTAGCAAAACAAGTTGGTGTATGAATGTTGTCCTGGGGGAGACTGACGCTTGTTAAATGCAATTTCCTGCTAATTCGCAGGGTAAGTTGGGGAAGGGGTGGGGGTAGAACCACTAAGTGTGGCATGCATGGAGGGGGAATCCAAATAGTTAGCGCTACATTCACTGTGTATCAGGAAGTAAAGCCTGGGTACCACAAGGTTCATTAAGTGCCATAGGAGTTACCATCTCAGTACTCAAAGGGGTAGTATTTAGGTGCCTCTTATAGGTGCTACAAGATTTGATAATGGGTACTACAATGATCACACACAGGCACAAGGTCTAACCACAGGTGATGTGTTAATTAAGACTGGCTACCAATACGTTAAGCTCCTTTTATTTCAGTTTACCGAGGAAGTTGTTCATGTGCACATACCTTTTTGATTGTCTGAACAAAGTCCTTGCTTTTCCTGAGGACGCCTGGAGTGAGAGTTCCACTGAGGTCATCAATTTGTGCCATCACAGCAAGGCTCTTGGCTGGATCCTTGATGGGAAACAAAGTGAGGTTACAAGCGAGATCTTATGCAAGCAAAGGCTGCACCAACACCTTGCTTGTACCCACCACGCCACAACTGAAGGAGGCCAGTACAGACTAATTTTTAATGCATTCTTATTGGACAGTTTGCGCATAAGTTACAGGGCAAGTCAACAGCTGTGTGGTACATGTAGGTTGGAACAACATGCCATGTTCTGGCAGGTGTTTCCCTTCAAAACAGAACAAGCAGAGCAGAACAAGCCAACAGCAACATGAGATTTATTGGTAAAAGGGGGCTGGGTTGAGGGTGGGTTCACTGATTTTTCTTCTGGAAGGTGCTACTCACGGGCCGGTCCATGCTCAAAGAGACTTTGAGTTCAAGGTGCAATCTTTCAACTGTCTCTTCCAGTTTATTAAGACCTAGAACAGGTAATAGGAAAAATGAAATAGTGCGGTCAAGAACATTCAAATGGCAAATTAACATGAATTTGCAAACGGTATACTTGGTATGATCACAGTCAATAAACAAAATATTCTGTGAGCGGCATTCAGACCCATTCAATTCCCCAGGTCATGTTATCTGATATCTCTATGCTTCTACAGCAATTTGCTTGGTGTACATTCATCTTGGGCCTACCTTTCTTCTTTTCCGGTTTTTTCTTCTCTAGTTTGTCTGGTTTAGATATTCTGGCAAAACACAAACCAAGAAAGAACAGCTTGAGCAACCTTCATTAGTGTGAAAGGGGGGTTAAGTCATATTCACTACCACGTTTCAAGTATGGCAAAGGCAAAGCATCGACCTTTACTATTACGGGGTTTCGTCATGTGCGATGAAAACGTGCCTAATACATCCACCCTTTTTTGCTTAATTTGACTCTCAATCTACTAGAATTCACTACTTTGAATGGACATTCAATTTGTCTTTAAAAGACCCATCAGACCTAAATGATACTGTCATTATCAACACCAATCACACCTCATTTCATGTTCCACTTTCCCCATTTCCGTTACTGAAGTTCTGTAAGCCAGGGACGTACAAGTCTAATTTCTCCTCAGTGCTCCAAAAGTTTGGGGTACAGAAACATATCAGGTTCTTGCTTCTCAAATGTACAAAACCAGATTGTAGGGGAACATTCTCATCAAAGTCTCCACTTACTCTTTGTCACTGCCCTGATCCCTGGCTTGCTGTTTCATGTCCTCTTCCTTCCTTCTCTGTAGGGTCAGAAAACGACGCATTTCAGAGTTCAGTCAGTCTGTCAAATCAAAGTGTAGCTGGAGACGAGCACGATGCATACCCCCCCACACACACTTCACAATTGTCCGAACAACAACTTTGGAGTAACTTGTTGCACAAGTACAAGAAAGGACCTCAGTGATAGCCACTGATACAACTCCACAAAGGTAGAGTAATAAAGGGCCCTAACGCTCAATGCACTGTGGATTATATATAAGGAAAAAGCTTCGAAGTGAGGAAAGGTCGTCTCTAAAAGAATGGCTGGGTCTAAATTTACAAATAGAAACCACAGCTAGAACATATAAACTTGGAAATGCCCAGCCACTTTTTTAGGCCAACAGGTGTTGAACACACTTTCATTCTCAATTTGAAATATTTGCATGTGGATGCACGGGTGAAATTTTGACAATGGTCTTCAGTCTTAAGTGGTCTAGACAGCGCCCTCCAATGTCCAGACACAGGATCAATGACGGGGAAAACCATGACTAACCTGCTCCTCCAGGCTTCTGTGCTCCTCTTCGCGTCGCCTCTTAGCCTCTTCCTCCAGCCGCTTCTTTGCTGCTTCCTCCTGCCGCCGTGCCTCTTCCTCCTCCCGCCGACGCCTCTCCTCCTCCCTCCTCTTCTTGGCCTCCAGCTCCTTCTTCTTCTCCTCCAACTTCTTTTTTAGCTTCTCCTCTTTCTTGCGCTCTTTCTCCTCTTGCTTCTTCCGCTCTTTCTCTTGCCTGTCCCAGGCGGGAAAACAATCAAGTTATCACAGAGGAATTGTTCCCCTCATGAAGGCACAAAACTTAGTTAGTAAGTAATAATTTGGCGTCCTTCAAAAGTAGTCATTTGATAATCGCAGAATGATTGCAGATACAGAATGTTTTACCAATTAGGCCACCTAGCTTACTAGTTTAAACCATTCTTGCATTCGAAATGTAATGAAATCAACAATCCACTTTGTTAAACCCTAATCTGACCTTTTCTTGTCCTTGTCCTCTTTTTTCTTCAGCTTTTCTGCTTTGCGATCAGAAGTGTCCATCTTGGAAGCCTCAACACTTTGTGTCCCTGTCTCATCCACCGCCTCTCCCTCTTCATCGTCCACCATCAACCTGGGTGCCTCCTGCTCTTCCTTTACTACTTTCACTTCAGCCTCACTGTTCTTCTTGACTTTCTTCTTGGCCTCTCGCTTGATCTTCAGGGGGGTTTCATCGATGACAAGGTGGTCGCTGTCGCCGTCGCTGTCCAAAACTCGTCGCGCTTCGTCCTCGTCACTCTCGGCATGCTTGCTCTTGGATTCCGATGAGCTGCGTTTTTTCTTCTTCTTTTTCTTCTGGGCCTTCTCCAGCCGCTCCATCTCCTCCTGGAGGCGTTCCTTCTCCCGCATCAGCCGGTACTGCTCTTCCTGCTTCTTCTTCTTCTCCTCCTCAATCTTGGCCCGCCGTGCCTCTTCCTGCTTGCGCCACTTGGAGACGTAGTCACTGTCATCTGAGGAGGAGTCTGAGCTGCAATATTAATCCAGATTTATTATTTTGCAGCGCACTGGACAGGTTAAAGTACACACAAAATTTCATTATGCACTTCTGGTTTGGGGAATCTGGAGATGCTGCAAGTTCCTTTTGCAGGGTTCGGTGCCCTTGATAAAAGAGAATTAGTTGATGCATTATTTGCTGTGCCAATCTTTTTTTAGTACAGTTCTCAGTACAACGCTAATGAAATTCTGATTCTGATAAACCTACCTGCTCAAGCTGATGCTGAGTTCTTTTTGTGGGGCTGGTTTACTGGCAGGTTTCTTCTTGGCACTTGGGGCTCTTGGCTTTTTCTCTCCTTGAATAAGAAAGTTTAAACAAAGTTTAACCAGGTAAACAAATTATGTTTATGCAGATTAAAATCCAACCCTCCCACAGGTCCTTAAAACCCACTAGGACGACTGCACGGACTTAGGAAGCTGAAGCCCAGGCTTGATGGCTAAAACTGAAAGTTACGATATGATGACTGTACCAGTGGGTTTATTCATGGTTGTTGACTTTGAATATTGAGGGTTTGGACAGGAGGCCTAACTGTCTAGAGAGCTCAGTTTGCTCTTTCATATGCAAACTAAAACAAGGTTCTTTTAACCTTAACCCTCCTTAATCCTCAAAAATCTTTCAGGCGGTTTTGGAGGATTTTGGAGGATTGAGGGTAAGTGGCAAAAGTGCTTATTGCAAAGGATGCCATACATGAAGGTCGTGGGTTACACCTTGTTTGTTTTGCTTAGTCATGCATAAATTCAGCCCAGTATTTCTTTTGAATCAAGTGTGTTAAGCAAAAACAACAAAATTCTCAATATGCGCAGCAAAAATTGCTAAATTGGTGAATACCTTTAAAAAAAAAATGAATCATTACTTGGACTCAAGGCTTGTGACTCGTGACTCAGACTCTAGGTTTGTGACTCACGACTCGGACTCACCATTGGTGATTCGACTACAACAATGTCGTTAGTCAAAAGTTTCTGCTACAATACACTTATACTCTTAAATCCTATCAGCTTCCTTCAAGTCAAGTACCACAAGCTGCAAATAATTTTCTTTTGCATTAATTTCCCAGTTCTCAAGAGCACTTACTTCCTGTTGCCTTCCATGTCTCACCTTTAGTCCTGGGTTTCTTGGCGGACTCTTTCTTGGCCTTCTCCTTCTTCGGTTTTTTCACCACTGGCTCATCCTCATCATCGCTGCTGGATGCCTGCTCCTCGTCTCCCTCTTCATCCTCACTGTCTGAGCTACTCCCTGCCTTGGACTTCTTTCTGTGCCTAGGTTCAGCCTTGTCAGAGAAGCGCTTTTTCCTCTTTGCACTGCTTGTCTTCTTTGGGACAAACTCCTGTGGGGGGAGGAAAAAAAAGAAATATTAAGATTTAAGGAACTGACAAATGCACAAAAAACATGAAGCGTACAAGTTTGAGGGACCACCAATCCCAAAGCATTAAAACTTAAGAGGGTCCATTAAGGCTACTGCCGATGGTAATACCACATTCATTCACCTGTTGGTAATTACAACCAATGCATTGACTTACATCACTACTTTCTTCTTCCTCTTCTTCCTCTGATGGCTCATCGTAATCCGTCTCTCCCTCCTCACTCGAAGACACTGATCTCTTCTTCTTGGACGATTTCTGGGTTGGAATTGAAGCAACAGTTCTAAACTATGTAAAAGGCACGAGTGCAGGCTAACATCAGAATAACACTTTTGAGATTTGTACAAATGAAGTAAGCGTTAAATACAGAACCACAGTCTTTGGCTACAGGCATACAGTGTACGCTGGATGAAGAAGGGCAAATATCTCCCGTATTAAGCCAATGTGGGGAACTTAACACAAACAAACCCCTCAACATAAAGATTTGTGCATTTCCGAGTATCTGGCTTAGTGAGCAAGCTCCCATTCTACCTTTGCAGTATCAACACTTGACTTTTGTTTCTTCGCTGCAGCAGTCTTAACCTTAGGCTTGACTTTCTTGGCAAGGGGTTCCTCCTCCTCCGATGACGATTCTGGCTCCACCTCTTCTACTGCCTCCTCTTCTACTTCCTCTTCTGATGTAGATGGTGGTTGCTATGGTGACCAATCAATCAATACAGTGAAATACAGCTAGGATTATCATGAGACTCCAGTCACAGAAATCATAAAACGTAGAAACTCTAGTTTTGCCTTTACCTGTGCGTACAGATTGACGTTGGGATTGGTGATGATTTCATCCAGCCCGATGTTAAAGGCCCGGTGTTTCTTGTGAAGCTGGCCATACTTGTGTTTGAACTCCTCGTAAGGGTATAGGTCCTTAGGCAACATGAAGGCACTGTTGGAAATAAAGTCAAGAGGATATATGCAAATAAGGACTACTCAATCATTACTCCCTGAAGAGCACCGCATTAAAACCCACACTACTCTGGGAGTCACCGACAGTTTATTATTCACAGTCACATCTGATTTTTTTTGTCATCTCCAATAGGACAAGGAGTGCTTAGCATTGAGCAGAGGTTAATTTTTCATTAACAGGTTTTGACCTTACACTGACGCATACAAACAATACTGTATACTCCAATATGGTAATGGGGGTTCAGGTTACAGGCATTGGAGAAGTTCAGAATTCCCCCCACCAATTTTCACTTTGTAACATTCAAGTTAGCAATATGATACATTTCTGACAAGTGTGGATGCCTTGGCTTAGGTACGATGGACATTGCACCTACGTCTCGTGAGTTCCATAGAAGAAAATGGGGAACTTGTTCGGAGGTGGCTTAACTCCTCCTTCGGGAATCTCGTCAATCTAAGGAGATGAGAGAACAGAGCTACACAAATGAGAATGTTAACGGAAGGAATCTTGGTTTGTGAGAAATTATCAAGGCTCAAGCAACTCACGTCAAGAGATGCAACCAAGTGTTAAATTTTGTCATTTAAAGAGGAAAGGAGGGGACCTGTTGCCGATTGTAGTCAGGTTCTAACAAGTTAAGTCACAAATAAAATTCATAAAGACACACGAAAGTCACAATTCATGGAGTCATGAGTCCTAGTCATATGCCATTGAAATGAACTAAATGACTAAGGTTAATTCTTTTCTGTTATTTATTCAAATGGTTGTGATCTGCCAGTGACTTGTGATGGACTTGATTGTAAATGTGATCTAAAGGAATAAAGCAAAAAAAAAAATATTGCGGTAAAAAGCGTGGGAGAGATTGGGACTTGAAGATAAATACACAAAAAAATCCAGCAGATTTGTTTTAACAAACACAACAACAATATAAAGTACTTCAGATTTTTCAAAGGATAGGCCCTAACTCTTTCACAGATAGCAATGGCAGTTTATGAAATACTTGGCGGTGGCTTGAAATGGCACGAGTCTGTGATTGTGGCTACAGCCACTGTCCATCGAGTTGTGGGAAATTTCCAGCCACAGCTTAGTAATTTGGACACGGCTTAAGATTATGCAAGTCTTGAAGTATGGCTTACCCTTGCTGGCCAATGAGGCCATCCCTTCATCTTGGCAAACACCTTGTCTCCTGGCTTGAATGCTCTTCCTGCCATGGTTAGTCCCGGTTCAGGCCTAGAAGCACAACGCCACCACACTTTGTTTAAATGTCTGGCATTATAACTCCAAGCAGCAGTGTGACCTCCCTTGATATTTCATCAACATTTTGCTTTCATGCTTGTTTTGGAGCTTCTAACAACCCTTCTAGGTTCCTGGCAGATATGATGATGTCCCCACACAATGCCAACACTGTCTGTGGCAAATTTCCAGTGGCAAAGAGAACTACAGTACTTCAGAACTTACTGGAAGGGCCAAGACTATGGCAGAAATTACCATGGAAACAGTGCTTTATTCCAGGAAATTTTAATAACAGCCACCAAGAATTTTGAAGGCGCACAGTATCTGACAGTATCTGCAACCAAAGGTGCCAAATATATTATCAAGTAAGTCACTGCAGTGAAGTTTTAAAAAGCAAGAAATCAGACATTGTTGCAGTTCCCATTTTTGTAAAGTTATACTTAGAGTTTGGGGATGGTATGCTGGTCTAGCATGACATTCTAAGTAACAGGGTCTACATGTAAAGTGCTTGAACGGTATACACACCACCATGGAGGGAGGCCTATTGCTCACAAGAAGTTGCTTTGCCATAATTGTCCTTTCATTGTCGTGAACATGCTGGAGTTACTTTACAAAAACTGACGTGGTTTCAAAAGATCAATGAAATTTTACCATTTCAGCATTCTGATGAATATTGCCTCTTGAGAGCAATGAAATTCCCCTATCAACATTTAACTTGGACTTTGCTTCCCTCTAAAAAAATACTCTTGAGAGCTGTTAAATTCCTGTTGACATTTAATTCGGAAAATTCCTTGAGCCGTGTTAATTAGAAAAATATCTGCAATAAAAGTAAGATCTAGGACAAAATAGATAACAATACGGGACAATAAGTGTTTTGAATCGACCTAAAAAACTACTAGGCCTAGTTCATATTGGAATTTTTGCCTTTACCCAAGCAACATTCTCCCAGCTTGCCTAGTGCTAGACAGCAAGAGACTTCGAAGGGAATGGGAATACCCACGTCGCTGCCAGGCCTGACCAAACGCTAACCATTATGACTCCCTTTAACGTGCTAAAAACTGCACAGTTTGAGGCACAAAACTTGCTTATGTTAGAAGACTGCTCAACGTTATCTGCACAGATTTAAAATATACCCAACCTAATAAAAATTGCGTAAAGGAATTGCGCAAGTTACGAAAATTTCAAATTTGCACACTTTCAAAGATTGCGCTGAACAACTTTGTTTTCACATTTTATAACAATCATCCTCCCAGCATACCAAAAATGCCAGGAGGAATTCCAGCATACGGATGCCAGTAATTATTCCCTACAGCAATTACTCAGAAAGCAAAAATATGTCCAGAAAAGTTCAATTTAGGAGGGAATATACAAAGTCATAGTTAGAAACACCTAGAATTTTTCAGACCAGTCTCATGTGCTCATTACTGGGTTTGTGCACAGGGTGTCAAGTACAGCATCCATTTATGAAACTCTTTCCAAACTGCCACCTGGTGATCAATCATTCATTAGTGTGAAAGAAAGACTTCCCGAGGTTGTAATTTGCAAAGGCAAACTGCACTTCTGCCCACTAGGCTAGTCATGCTAATTCAACTTGTGAGATTAATGCATATGGCAAGGACGTGCTAGCACGGTTAGTGAACATCAGAACATGGTCGTCGTACGTTGCCTACCTGCCTACAGGCCTGGGCCCAGTACAAATGAAAACGTCGCAATTCGGTAGCTGAACATCGATCCAAACAGTAGGTATGCCATTAAATCAATTTATCTTCAAATATCCTTATTAAAAATGAATGCATAACCTGAAAGCTAAACAAACCAACCTGTGAATACGAAAAAATAGAGCCAAACTGGTATGGCCCGCTCCGCGGGAAATTCCGCCTGTCCCACTTGCAACAGACGAATCAGCCGTCGAAATACTGTTCACTACAAAGTACCAACTGGATGTAGTTCAGTAGATATTTTGTATGGAGTGCAAATCGGAAAAAAATCTGTGGTCGTCTAGTAAAATAAAGTTATTGTACCTACAACATAATATTTATTGTTTGTTGCAAAATTCAGTGCATCGCTTCAAACTACTCAAAAAATTTGTGCATAAGTTTCTGAAAGGGCTTGAGGAGCCTGATATGGACAGAAAAATTACCTCAAATCGTCAAAGCAAAACCCGGTGGCACAAATTTTGGATGCCCAAGAGAAAATAACCCCGTAACTGGTACGACTCTTTTAGAACAGTGTCCGGCGTGTAGGGACCAGCGCGAAGTAGGAGTGTGCTACAAAAAATTGGCGTACATGTACAATTACGATATATACAGAACACACTCATGCATGTACACTGTACGTGGACGCAGTGTGTGGTTGTGCCAGCTGTGCTGCGAGTCCAAATTCACTGGAGACTCAATGAGCGGGTAGGCCTACCTGCGGATATCAGGCCTAATTGAGGGCCGTATTGAACTGTAGCCCGTATTTACGGTTTTCTGTGGGCGGTAAGTTGAAGATTCCTCTATTAAACGTGTTTTATATTCCTTGAGCCTTGGAATTCGGATATTGGCTAAGCTTGCAGGTTATGGCATTGGTTACATTCGTGTGCGATGACGAGAGTTAAGACATGTACATGGAGGCCTACAGGCCTAATTAACTTGATCTGTCAAATTATCACAGCAGAACCAAGGAGGAATTCATAAGAATATGCAGGCTGGGCTCGTTCGTGGTTGGTTCAAGACCCTCAACGACTAAACCTGACCTTAGTCAAACTCGTAACCCCTGTCTGTAACTAGTGTAATCTCTGCATGCACTTATCTACAGTACATCTACAAGATCTAATCTCAGTACGGTAACTTGGACTCGACAAATCATCTTTTTTAAATATTTGGTCAAAGTTGGGCGATAGTAGACTCTGCCATAGCACTATCCCCCCGACCACATCCAAATGTTTAAAACGGGGATTCATTGAATCCAAGTAACTCGGAGTAGGCCTACATCATGTACACTGTACATGTTACACATGTTTTATTCATGCTTTAGTAGGCCGAGCAGGAAGAAAAGCCCACACCTTTAAAAAGGTGATAAAACTTAATTAAAGTACATGAAGTCTGGGTATCAACGACTCTAGAAATTGTCTTTTTTAATATTTGGACATGGTCGGGTGGTGGTTGAAATGATGGAGACTCAGTCCTACACCATACATGTATGTACCCTCAGAACTGGTGGGTTCACTGAACCCACAGCTGCACTCATTGGGGTAGGAGGCTCCTGGCCCAGTATCAGTCCTCATTTTCACATTTTGAGGCCTCTTACGGCCATTGAAATAGTTCCATACTCAGTTGTTGGAAATTTGTTCATAAGCTTTACACGTAGAGCCACAAATAGCCAAAAAGGTATTTTATTTTGCTTAAGTGCAGAGCTATACACAATGTATATTGTAAACATTTTTGTAGGGGTAAAACAAACACGGTCAATGCATCAATATTTTCCGTGTGAAATTTGATTCATAGAACATGTTACCACTTTCTGATGGCTATTACCGGTATCTAGATCTCTGAAAGGGAGCATCAGTTATGTTCGTATATGTGGAACTGTTATCCCTTTGATTCTTTCAGCAAATTGAGATACTTGCTGTATGACGCTGTTACAAACAGCATCAAGATCTGAAACACACATGTGCATTACTGCTGTGACACTTAAACTCCTTTTTCATTGTCAACTTTTGACTTGTGTCAATCAAACTACATGTGCCGGCACCCAGTTGCACGTGTAGGAATGGTTTTACTGCAAAGATGACAACTTAATTAAGAGTTAAGACGTGACAAATTGGGCTTCTGCATTCTCAACACTGGGACTTGAACAATGTTAATGTTTTTCTGGTCAGGTGCTTGGAATTACAGTCAGATTTTTAAATACATGTATTAATTATTTCGTGAGACAGACAGACCGACAGCACAACCCTGCATGAGTGTGTCATTCCCTCAGAAATTTTGCTGGGCCAGTAGTCTTTGATACCAGCAAGAATTTATCAGCATTGATGATGATCCAGTGGCTACATGTAGGCCTATATTTGTGAGGCGTCAAACCCTTCATCCGGTCATAGTGGCTGGGTACACATACGAATACTGGAGTAACCTGAGATTGTTTGTTTTGCCACAGATTGTGCATTTCTGTCCAAACCTGTGACAACGTCATATATTTTGTCTAAACCCGTGACAACAACACACATATTTGTGTGGAGGAAGTTATTGATTGTATTGTCAGAGGCCGATGCAGGTGCTGAATTTCTTAAAGGTGAAAAATTGTATTTCAGTAAATGAAAAGTAAAAGAATATCTGGGATTTTGTTCCAAGTCCACAGTGTTGATAAAGTTACCACTTTGATCTCGATGCATGTACATGTAAGTGGGTTGAATGGATTCCAACCTCAACTGCTTAGAAAGTCAGCACTTGCATATCGGTGATTTGTTTTTCCTGAAATGATGAAATTCCCAGAAATCAGTGTGTTGTGCTGTGACTCAGAGTGTGCTTCCAGTCAAAACTCCTCATGGTGAAAAGGATGATGCTACACCTAAGGAAACCTACACCTCAATTTGTAGCCCATATTCTGACTTCAAAATTTTTAGTTACCGGTATGTACAGTGTATGTACTTAGAAAACACTTCTTGCAGATGACGTATGTACGCTCCCTTGAGGCTGAAGTCAGGGGCATAGTGACTTGGGGGGAGGGAGGGAGGTGGGGTGCAGCACCTCCCAATGATCAATTCCATTGGGCATATTGAAGTTTTGGTCAGTAACTGAACCCCACATTACTAAAATGAAATACTGTGTGGGCCGTCCGCATTTCCCCTTAAGCATGAAATGTACATGTACATGTAGCATACTGCAGATCACTTTGTGAATTTAACACAACACAAGGTTGGCCAACAAATTACAAGTCGGCAAATCGACTCTGGCACACAACCCCTCCCTAAAGAAAATGCCATCGCTATGCCACTGGCTGAAGTTCACAGTTTTAGAGTCAAGCAAAACATACAAAATGTCAAAGTCAAATCCTAAAAGGCAACGCTGTTTCCATCAGGGAGGAATTAGTGCCAGATGTACAGGCATTATTTTGTCACTACAGAAGCCAACAGCTTAAACTTCACCTTTGCATCTCCTACAATGTACATGTAAATTTATCAAGGTTGTACAGTTTTCGTGGCATTCCATGAAGCAAACATGCACCCACCTCTGCATGTACCTGTACATGTATGCAGGTGCCTTAACTGATCCGTACATGTATGTGCCAAATTCTGTGTTCCACGCTGATCTGTCACATGGTTATAATAGTCAAATTTTCCTTGTTCTCATCACTGTCTCGCTGTCTGAGTGGGTTTTTTTTTTGGCCAGAAACTTGGTATGGCTGAGACACAACGTTCAAAGCTAGGCTTATATTGATTAGTCGATTCCCATGGAATATAAAGGTCAGATGGCCAGTGTGAGGCCATACGGATGTGTTTACGACTTGATGTTACCATAAGGTTCAATTGTATATTTAGCATCAATACAGTTTACGATCAATTTGTGATATGTCCATCATGCTAGTACACATGGAGAAAATTTATTGATTTGATTTCAAGTTGATGGAGTCATCAAGACTCTTAAGTATCAAAGTTGGGGTTATTGTAACTCAAGTAAAATTTAACAAAATTGTTCAGATCCGTGTTTACATCATCTTGGAGTGACCTATGTTTTTGAGTACCAGTAAATAATAAAAATGAAAAAAGTCTTCACATATGGCAGGTAAAGATGCATGCTAAATTGCATTTTATGCATGTACAGTTTTTTGGTGTATAAAATTATACTAAGACTGAAGATACTGAACATTTGGCATAACACTGTGTGGTGGTACCCGTATGTCCAAGGGGCTACCCATACAGCCTGTGCTTGTACGTGTATGTTCTTCAAGAGAGTCCACTCTGAATGTGTATGCCTTGTTTTGCTCACAAACTAGGCCAGAGCAAAATCAATTCAGGAAAATCAATGGTTTGTGCCTTTCACACCATTGATGGTTGATTAAATTACATTTCATTGTCATGAGCACAGTAATACTCACTGGTATTGTGCCTCACATTTTTAATGCTCCAGTTGTTGGGTGCAAACGGTCAGTCAGAAGATCTGTGTACATCTCTGCAGTAGGCTTACATGTATAATAGTTGAAACTTTATCAGTCACTTTATGAAATCTGTATCAAGTCATGTACATGTATTATGGATATTGCAAACAACTATTGGAAAAGCTTTATATACATGTACATATACTGTATGCCCATGAAGTTCACAGTTACTTACCTGGTATGTATGGTATGACAGCACTGACAGACCTACTGTGCCGCACTGGTAAATTGCCAAGAACTCTGATAATATTGTGTGTTAATCTGAAGCACAGACTAATTTGTCGACTGCAATATGAAACAATATACTGACATGGTAAGTTCCCAGTCTCGCCAGTGTGGTACATGTACACATGTACCTGGACTGGTATACGTTCATGTACAGTACTTTACATTTATGATGCCATGTATGTTCAGTCAGGGGATTTTGTAAATTTGTATTGTGCTTACATTGTACATGGGAGGAGGACGGGTACTTACATGTACATGTACCATGCCTCTGACAGTTGGTCTACATGTGCATCGTGTATTTACTGTATGCAGTGTACACATGTAGATTGTACGTGTACTACTAACTACATGTACATGTATGTACCAGTATGTATAGAGTGTACACCCACGCAAACGTCAAGCTCGAGTTCCAGCATTGATTTACATTAACAACACAGAGTAGAGAA